GCTTGTACAGAAATCCAAGGATTGTTGGGTGGCAGCATATATTCCAGTAAATTAGGGATTGGCTTCCTGTTCTAAATCGGAAGTTTTCAATATATGTTAAATAATCCTTGTCTTGGATATCAGCTTGCTGAGTCCAAAGAGATAAATGGGTTTTGGTAAAGGCCATGATAATGTGGATGTATAAAAGATAATTGAAGTAAAAGATGCACYAGTCTGAAAAATAGAAATTAAAATTCTGAGAATCACAGAATGGTTGAGGTTGGAAGGGACCTCTAGAGATCATCTAGTCCAACCCCCTGCTCCAGCAGGGACACCTAGAGCACATTTCCCAGGACAATGCCCAGATGGCTTTKGAATATCTCCAGGGATGGAGACCACACAACCTCTGGGCAACCTGCACCRGTGCTGCTGCCCTCACAGTGAMRAAGTTTTCCCTCRTGTTCAGATGGAGCTTCTGGTGTTTCARTGTGTCCCTTTAGCCTCTCATCCAATCACAGGACACCACTGAAAAGAGTGCTGGCCCTTGCTCCTTACATCCTCCCTTCAGATACTTAGACACACTTCTAAGATACTTCCCCCTCAACTTTCTCTTCTCCAGGYTGAACAGTCCCAGCTCTCTCAGCCTTTCCTCTGGGAGAAATGGTCCCATTGCTTAATCTCTTAGTAGCACCTCTTTGAGCCCACCACCATGTGGGCTTTGTTTGGCATTGTCTTGTCTTCCACAGTTTCAAGGTTTCCTTTTTAAGCCATGGAGAAGCTAACATAGTGGTGAGCTCAATGAATCCAGAAAGTTCTCGAGGAAGAGTCTGGACTTCTCAAGAAGTCCAAAAGCTAGAGCAAAGCCAGTGTCACTTGGTGCCTAGCTGGTGTGAAGGCGATCAGGAAGGGTAAGCTGGAAGCTSTGTTGCAGCAGTAAGACAGCTCTTTTACAGCAGTAAGACATTAATAGGAAGAAGGAGAATGGCTGTAGCTCCTGCTTTGGGAATTATGCTTAACACAGTACTTGGACTGAGGGTGTCCAAGGGGTGTCAGTCGGGGCAGGTGGTCCCATTGGAGCTGGAGGAAGTAGAAAGCATTGGAGGAAGTAGAAAGCATTGGCACATGGATGTTTAAAAGTAATTGCTGCTTTGGTTCATGAGTGAGAAACCACTGCTGAAGTCTGGACAGAGCTGCTCGCTCAAGATGTTGCCCCATCCAAAGGTATTTTTGTTGCTGTCCTAGTCTTTCTGAGGTGTGAGGAACAGCTTTGGGTCCTTGGAACGGAGTCCGTAAGGGGAGAAGCATGCGTGGTTTTTGAGGAGCGACRCACATGGCACGTTTTGTAGTCAAGCTCTCCCTTTCCAGGCTGAAGTATCAAAATTGATGCTAGATGATGTTAGATGTTTTAGAAATGCCCCTGAGGAGAGGGGAAGAGGCCAGCTCCTCCTCAGCCACTGCTGCGACCGCCCCTGGCCTGCYGCTCATGGCAGGGCAGCCCTTGCCCTTTGCTGCTCTCCTCGTCTCGAGCTGCAGGCCCCACAGAACCTGCCCCGGCCCAGTGGATCCCGGTGGGGCTTTGCCCCATCCCTCCTGTGCCCACCCGCTGTGGGAGGTGACCCATGAGCGGCGCCAGGCAGGCGCCCAACTGCCACACGGGCGCAGTGGGTTCCAGGGGCGCCATGTTGCCCACAGCTCCAACGACACAACCCGCTTCTCCCCGGCCCTCGCGGCGCCCTTCRGCCACGCGCACGTTGGCTGCACGGGAGCAGGGAGGGTCCCCGCGGGCGGCCGGATGCCTGAGAGGATGCGGGGGGCCGGGCGCTTCCCGAGCCTGCTCGCAGCTCTGCCCGAGCAGCTGCGCTGCCGCCTCGGCGGCGCGGAGGAGGAAGGGCCGCTTGGTAAGGAAATGGTGGCCRGCTGTCGTGCCGTGGGGTCGCGAGAAAGACACCCTGTGCGCGCCTGTGTGTGCAGTCCCTCCGAGGCGGATAGCCCGGCTCGCTCACAGGCAGAGGCCGGAGGCAGCTTCCCACCTCCCGCCCCTGCGGAGGGTCTGTGTCCCGGGATGCAGCCGTGCACCTCCCTTCCTGGCCGGGAGCCTCCTGCCGCCCCTGCATTTTGGGTACAGCGAGAGCAGCCCGGCCTTGGGCTTCACGTAACCTGGTTTGTTGTAGCAATGCTCCAGCTGCCCAGAAGTGAGTTGGACTGAACCTTGTAATTTAGTTACCTTGGTAACATCCGYGAGGAGCTATCAGTGTTAAAACATGGCTTTTTTTTCCCCCTGATATTTCTTTTATGGCAATATGTATTTATGCTTGCCTGGCAAGAGCGTGATTGGAAGCACAGCAGCTCTTCTGAATGTTGCCCTGGCAAAAGCCAACTCCTATTTCTGGCAGGCAAGGTGAAACGACAGCAGGTATCCCACATGTGTAGTATATAGATATGCCATAACTATACACAAGAGTCTTATATAGTCTTACAGTAGAAACTGAAGTTTATCATCAAGTAACTAACATTTTGTTAAGACAAGCCAAAGTAAACCATGTATTATTGTTTCAAAGTATTATAATATTCGATCACGCTTATTAAGGCTAGGAGTGGTCAGTGGTTATAATTCAGTACAGCTAGTTAAAAAAAAATCACTTCTTTTTTTTCCCTTTACACTGTAGTGCTCTCATACACATTTGTATTGTTGATGAATTATCATAAAAGGGGGGAAAAAAGAGCATTAATAGCATTACTGTTTATTATTACAAGCCCAAACTTATAGTTTGGATTTTACTGTGGCTCGGTCTGGCCCTGGGCAGAGAAGAGCACCCTGCACTTGGTCAACAACACTTCAGTGCTTGACTCAATTAACTGGGATCTAGCTGTCACTTGTCAAACTCATAATCCAGAAGTCAGTTGCCTCGTAACAGCTCAAAATACCCATCAGCACTAAGCAAACTGTTTCTCTCTTAAATAAAGAAAACTGACCTTCTTTTGGATAGTTCACACCTTTTAAAGTGGGTTTGTAATGTAGCTATTTTCTTTAAAAAAGGCCTTGTATTAGAATTTTCCATACCATTTTCTAGTTCAGAATTATGATTAAATTATGTATATTTTTCTGAAATCCCATTTAGAATTTTTAACCTTTGAAGTGTATTATTCCCTCTAAACATAGGTCTCAGATCATGGTATAAAGGTAGGGCTAACTCATTCATTTATGCCACTGAAGTCCTCAGGAAGGCCCAGGGTTTTAAAGCAAAATGATTCCATTGCTCCTCTTGTAAGCTGGGTTGGTGACTAGCAGGTCTGTTGTGTGCATTTAACAGTCTTGTTCCGGAAATGTTGTGTCTCCTTTTTGTATTTAGGTTCATAAGAGAGATAATATAAAATGATATGGTAGATACAACAGCACAGTACAATTTTTTTTTGCAACCATTAATTATAAAGTATTCGGTTAAAAACAATTTTTTTTTTTTAAATTAAAGCTTTTAAAAATGTGACTGCATGTATTTTCATGAAACAGGATTTTTTTACAGGTTTAAAAAACAAACCAAATGAAGAACTATCTTCAACATGTGGGGCCATTCCTGTAAACTTTATGAGACAGCACTGCTGGATGTGTACAGCAGGCAAGACACTGATGTATGATGACTTGTCTCTAGCTCTCTTGAGTACTTAATTGAATTAGATTATTATCCATTCATACAATATTTTCTTAGTGTTTAAAATTCTGATCTGATGACAGTGAATACTTGATTTCTACTCTATCAATGATGGAGCGTCAACAACTTGATTAATCATCTATTTTCAAGCATGAGTATCTCTGAGCACATCTTTTAAAGAAAGTATCATGATTTATTTTTTAAATTCTGTGTGTATATGAATGTTTTTATTTCTTTTCCAAGAGATTAGAAGGGTCTGAAAGCAGCTGGTTTATGAAGGTGTCCGTATATTGAGGTCTGTGTCATCCCATTTCTCCAGGATCAATCTGTGCACATTCCTGGCTGCATACTGCCCAGTTTTGGTTCCAGCTTTGCTATTTGTGATAAACATAGTCTTGTAGAGCCCTGTGGAGGTGTTTGCACCTCCATGCAAGCAGCCATGCAGGAGGTGCTTTAGAGAATGAGGAGTAAGCAAATTGAAGGCCAAATGCCGCTCCCAAATCCTCCACTGTGTGATGTACGTTTTTTCCAGATAGCTCTGTTGGCCGAAAGACTGTTTGGGGAATATGGAAGTGCTGAGTAGGTGCCCCTGAGCACGGTCCTGACAAACACAGAACTCAAACTCCCAGAGTATGTAAAGAGACCTCGTAATCATACAATTCAGCTGTGAAGTCTTGGGGGTAGCAGTGACACTTTCCAAGCTTTCAAACACTACTTTCAGACTGCAGTTTAATCTGTTACCAGGTGGTATTTTAAATCAATTATGACACAGAAATGCATGAGCAAAGCGAATGGGCACAGGCACAAAACGAAGAGCAGGTTTGTGTTTCAGGAGCCAGCTTCCCCAGTGTGACAGTGAGAGTGCCAGATACGCCCTCACCGTGGCTGTGCAGGAGGACACCTATTCCTGTGACAAAGGCTGCTCTGCACCTCCCAGACGTGTTCTGAGAGCTGCTTTCTCTCCCAATTCCACGTACATTTCTGTTGGCTTCAGGAATACGCGATGCTATCGTAACAAGCCTGCTGTAAGACTCTAAATAGCTCCCTAGACATATGGACAGACAGATGGGTTCAGACAGACTTTGTCCCCAGAAATCCTGTGTGACACTTATCTTTTTGTGTACACAATAGCACCAAGGTGTCAGCCCGGATCATTTCCGTTAAGTTGTAGTAATGTTTTATGGGTTTGCATGAAGGTTTTACTTGAAAATGTGGAGGGATGTGTGTGCACGTTTTGCAGAAATGTACTGGGGCAAGTAATCATATAAACAGTTGTAATTCTATTTTGAGAAACATTGTGAAGGTATAAATTATGTTTGATCTGGACAGAGATGATGATGTGGCATGTGACTGAAAATATATATTTCTTAATAGATGATTCAGCCGCAGAGAGTTTTAATGGCAATGAGACCGTGGGACACAGTTCCAATGCTTCAGGGGGAACACACTGCAGGGAGATGGCAGAAACCAACAGTAATGGCAAAGCAAATCTGGAGCAGGATGAGCAGCCTCTGAACCTGAGTGACAGTCCCCTCTCTGCTCAGCTGACTTCAGAATACAGACTAGATGATCACAGCAGTAATGGAAAGAACAAATACAAGACTCTGCTAATTTCTGATCTCAAGATGGAACGGGAGGCAAGAGAAAATGGAAGCAAGGTAAGGTGCTTCCACATGCTCCAGATATGAAGTGTGTAGATTAGAAAAGGAAAAGATTTGTAAGGCCAAACCGAGGGTTATTCCCAGCTAAGCACTTAATGCAGTGTGTGTGATGTGTGGCACATCATTTCTCAAATGCTGTGCACAGACTTGCATGCTCTGCTACAAATAGATGATACATACATACATTAAGTGTTTATGTGTGTACATAAGAGTAAATGTGTGTATATGCATATATAATGTTCTTGCACACTAACAAAAATCAGGGCAGTTCTCTATCAGGCATGAATTTTACCAGTTCTTTTATCTACATTATCCATTCTGTATAACCATGCACACATATATATGTAAGTATACTACAATACATATATATGTATATATATTTATAGATGACCATCTCATTACATGTACTGCGTATCCATAGAATGAATCTATTTGAATGCTAACTATGTGTATGCCCAAGGAAATTCCTACATGTGAATTATATCATCTGAAAGGAGCTGATTTGGTTCCTTCCTGATCGTTTGTGTTATGCAGGCACCTAACCTGAATTAAAACTGACAAGTTTGCTCTAAGAAGCTGCAATCCCCTGCGGGCCCTTCTCTGTAGTTCCCATTATGTGGGGAAGGGGAAGTGGTGGTTGTGTAGTGGATGAAGATAGATCCTACAGATTGCAAASCTTGCTTGATGGGAAGGTATTTGCCATGAGGGCATGTTGTGAGGAGGATAAAGAAATGGCCTATATAGCAGAATTTATCCATTGATCTGCTCTGCTCCCATTTGTGATAAGTTCCTGATTTTAGCCTGATCTGTCACAACTGGATTACCAATTTTCCCATAGCAGTAATATAATGTAGTGAATTCAATTACTATTAATGCTTACACTATAAAATAACCAGACAACATAAATGTATTTGAATGGCCACATCTTCTGCAAGACTTTAAAATAGGAGTGATAGGAAAAATCACTTTTTCCAGGTGGATCCAGAGAGGGATTGTATGTGACTGATATCTAGAGAATGGCGGTTATTTATGTTTAATTCCTGTCTTCATTGCCTGTGGAGCAAAAATAAAAGCTTGAAATGTTTTTTTAGCTCAGCTGTCTGGTTTTGGCGGGTTGAAAGAGGGTAGAGCAAGTAGGAGACTGTTAGTCACTCTCTTTCTTGACCATTTCTATTTGGCAGATACTGTGTCCCCAAACCTGCTCCATAAAATCTTTATCAGAAACTGGKTAGCTTCATGGAATATTATTGTTTCAGTACATTTTAATTTCATTGGAAATGTTCTGAATAGCTCTAGCCTTAGTGTGTGTATACGCTCTGAAGTGCTGGATTTACTCAGTGCTTGGACAGTTGAACAGAGCATCCCAAATTGACTAATATAAGCAGGATCCTCATTTGCTCCAGGGTACCTTGTTTCAATCCTCTCATAAGCCAGTCGCCTAAATATTGATAGACACAGGGRCTCTTTTGCCTGAGGTCCAGTGCTGCTTCTGTCATTATTCTTGCAAATACACAAATAAGCTTGAGGAAAGGGGGAGGAATCTTAATGTGGAATTCTACTGTAACTAAGAAAAGACCAAGAAATTGTTCAATTTTTATCAGTTCCAGCACTGTCGTATATTCTTGGGTGAAAAAAAAAAGATATTTAAAGTGTTAAAATCTTTGCAATGAATTGAGGTAACAGTCAAAGCCTTTGTATTCTTTGTTGTTCTGCAAATTGATAAAGAGCTCAGATCCACACATTCTTTCATCACAYGCTCCCACATCCATATATTCTTTCATCACTCACTGTCATCCTGCTCACTCTGTACTGCCAACAATATGTAAATTTACCTTCTCTTTTTGTCTTAGAATGGAACTTGTGTTGATGTTTACAGCTCATTTAAATATGTGATTTATTAAGTATATGGTAAAGATTTTTAAGTATGGAGTGAAGACTTCAGGATGAACACACTCCTGGGATAAACACAATTTTGTCAGAGGTTTAGAAGATGAGCATAGAGTAAAATAATATTGTTTTTGTGACTGATTTCTTATTTTACAGGTAAATTTATTCTTTGCAAATTTAAAACTATATATTTTTTCCAGATCAACAACAAACATCAGTGTATTAGAAGTGAAAAAGACTGTGAAACACCTCAGTGTTTCGTATGGGCACATATACGGGGTAGGATTAGCAAACCACAGAGTACTGTAATTTATTAGGATCCACCTCTCACATATCCTTTTACCCAAAATATTTCAAATACATGGGTTGTTTGTCAAAGTCATCTGAGGATTCTCTGAGGTCTATGGGAAAACTCAGCCAAGAAACTGTGCACCCTCAGGACAGCACAGAGACAGCTGTCTGTAACACAGCATCCAACCTCCAGCCATTCCCAGCTATGCAGTTACTGGACAGGACTAGACCTGAATAATCACATTATTGGGAGTTAAGTGTAAGCAAATGCATTTAGAGTAACCTTGAGTTGTCTTCTTTCCCTATGAGAGAAATAATACCTGCAATGTCTAGCAAATACCAAGTTGATAGGCCACTTCTTGTAGTTTAATATTCTTATGGTACCTTTATGTGGAAAAAAGTTGAGAAAACTCACAAGAGAAGTTAGTGAAGAAAATATCAAGTCCGTAAGGGAAGGGAAATACATTTTAAGTTCTTGGCCTATCGTTCCAGCAAGCAATACATTATTCAGTGCTGTAGCTTCTACTGTGACCCATTTAGGCAGCAAAGGACATTGTTTGCTTGAGATAGTCAATGCTCCTGTGAAACCCACAGGCAAAAGGCAAAGCTGGGGAGATCTGTTTGCTCAAGTGCTCCTTTCCTGCCCTGTCTGGAGCACCTTTTTGAATGCTGCCTCATGCATGTTTTATTTAACCACTAACCAGCCTTTCTGTGGTCAGCTTGCATCTCTTCAAACCTGTCTCTGGGTTTGATAATGACTCATCCTATCACATCAGAGCTAACCTAGCTAACCACGGARCGCCGAGAGGTTCCCTATTCGTGGAAAGCTATCACCACATCATTCTGCCTCCACCAAATCATATGTTTTCTTCAGGAGTTTTCTGGAAAGAAGCATATTTTTATCCAAGTATGTTGTATGTATTTGGCTGTTCAACACTATTTTCAAGAACAGTATTTCCTTTATATGTGTGGTTGTGGTCTCCACCATTTGACAAGGTGATTCTGATTGATTATATTGGATGTGCTGCAGAAATATGTATGATGTGATCAGAAGAAGCATTTGGGAAAATGGTACTTTTCCCATTATATTTTCATTCCGTATCTGACACCTAGTGGACAAATGCTTTTTGAAAGCAGTTAGTTGTTTGTAGAGCTGCCATTTTTACAGTACATAAAAGTACCCATTTTAAGCACTTAAATGCCTCTGCTGTATGGAAAGTGTGCTGGATAGATTGCTCATTCTGTGAGAGTCTTGAATTTCAAAACATGGATACTTAACATTTTCTGGAAATCTTACAGGACTCTGTAATGTGCACAAAAAAAATCACTAGTCCGTTTTAAGAAATCTAGTTTTTGGAGCTTAACTGGTGAAGTTTCCTTGTCTGAAAGGMCTGAAGAATAACTGGAGATTAGAGAACCTTGTGAAGAAATATTAATTCAAATTTCCAGTGTATCGGGGGATATTATTTAAAAACTGCTGGTTGAACCACTTTAGAATACGATTTTGAAAACTGTCTGAAAATGTTCTGACTTTTGAAAGACATTTGAAAACAGTGTTTAAACGGGGTTACATTTCAAAGGACGGTGTGACTTTACTCTCTTGAAGCCTCAGCTTCAGGAAGYGGGAATGTCTCGGAACCTCTCCTTGTGTGCCAGGCCACATACTATGTGTGGTAGTTGCCAACTTGTAACATCAACTTAAAAAACTGGTCTAAAAGGGTTTTACTATTTACCAAAAAAAGGATATAGAAGCAGGAAATCATTTTTCATAGTCTTATGTATGTGTGCTTGTATATATATATGTATGTGTGTGTGTTTGTATAAACATGCTTTATAGAGATGCATTTATTAAGTTGATAATAAGGACCTGATGCTCCCATAAGAACAACATGTTCACAGCAGTTCTCCTTGCATCCACTCTGCTGAAGTCAGTGAAACATTGTACAGGTGCAGCCATCTACATATATATTAATTTTAGCAGGACAGAGCTTTTGCAGTATACAAGACATACATTGCTGATGTGTAAATGCTCTACAACAAGGCTCCTGCGAAGCAATATGGGAAAATATTTTTCTGAGTTAGCAAGCTGTACTTTTATTATGCTGTGTATTTTTAGCCAAGTTAAAAACAAGTTTTCCATGCTTGCAAAGGACATATGTAATGCAAAAAAGCTTCCATGTTTCTTTTGGGGGTTTGCCAGATAGATCATGGATACCTAGGAGATGCATTAAAGTGAAGTAATGTGGAGGACACACTGAGTGTTCGTTTTGTCCATCTGCCTACTAATTGCAGACAGTTGGCTAATGTCTGCTTTTTATTTTCTTTCTACCAGACAAATTTCCAACAGAACAAAATGGACAGATCCAGGATCTCTAAATGTATAGTAGCCTGAGTTAGTATGTCCCGTGGTTAGTATGTCCTTGTGTGTAAGTGGTTGGGTGGAGGATGTAAACAAGGTAAGTAATTTTTCATTAGGATTGAAGAAGAAAATCACTTTTGAAGGAGAGAGCACTAATTAATGATTGCTCCATCCAATAACCTGTTTAATTCTGTATTCATAATGTTCACTTCATGATAATTACTGTGGCCCACGACAGAGCAAGGCTCTCAGGTCGCTTCTAAAAGATGTTACTCTCTGTCACTCGTGCAATGCTGCATCTTTGGAGTGTTTCTCAGCTCTGTTCCTCAGCCTGCTTTAGGAACAGCGTCACTGTCCTGGGCCACGGCTGGGCAGGTTGTCCCCCAGCACTGCAGCTCCCAGCAGGGGTTGCTGATGGAAACACTTACATGAGGATGGGTTGATGGACACACTTACATGA